ATCAGTTGCTTTTTATTTTCTTGTGAATCCTCACCTGAGGATATTTTTCCATTGATTTTTAGAGAGGGTGGAAGGGGGTGGGAGGAAAGAGAGAGAAACATGGATGTGAGGGAGACACATCCATTGGCTGCCTCCTGCATGCGCCCGACTGGGGCTGGGGGTCAAACCTAAAACCCAGGATCATGCCCTTGACTGGCAATCGAACCCGAGACCCTTCAGTGTGTGGGTCGACGCTCTAATCCCTGAGCCACACCAGCCAGGGCTACTTTCTGTTGCTTTTTAAAAATATATATATTTTTATTAATTTCTGAGAGGGAGAGAGAGATAGAAACATCAGTGATGAGAGAGAATCATTGATCGGCTGCCTCCTGCACATCCCCAACTGGGGATCGAGCCCACAACCTGGACATGTGGCCTTGACAGGAATCAAACCTGGGACCCTTCTCTCTGCAGGCCGACACTCTATCCACTGAGCCATACCAGCCAGGGCTCCGTGGCTTTGAAAGCCCACCCGAGGTTCAGCTAGAGACGCGTGGGCCTCACTGCGGAAGAAGCGCCAGACGGAGAAACCCCGGCCAGAGCGGCCACGCGGTCCCGGCCGGCTTTCCACGCGTCCCTGAGCCTCTGCTCGGGCCCCGGTGCTTCCGGCGGGAGCAGGCAGGGTCCAGGTGAGAGCAGCATGGTGCACAGCCACCGCCTCCCCGCGCTCCGCCTGTCCTGGGCCCCGGCTCCCTACGGCTCTCGCCTCCCCTCGGGGCGCAGAAACACCCCAGGGCCGCCCGCTCTGCGCCTACCATAGGGAGCGCGCCCCTGCCCGTGCGCGGGGCACACCCGGCCCGGCTCTGGGTCCAGGGCCAGCGCTCGGGAGGCACCAAGCAGCGCGACCCAGGACGCTTTCTCAGCGGCGCCGGGCGGCCCAGGACGGAGCCCAGGGGCTGGAGGAGAATCCTGAATGCAAATGGGGCTGAACCGGGCCTCGGCCCAGCACGGAGCTCTCCCAGCCCAGGGCCACGAAGCGGGTGCCGGGAGAGCTGGCCACGGCCCGGTCCCAGCAAAGGTGGGCGTTCTGCTCCCGGCACTCCTGCCGTGACCGAGGCCCAGGGCTCCCGCCTGCTTTCCTGAGCCGCCACGGCCATGTCAGAGCCGCCTCCTGCGCCTCCGAAACGCAGCGTGGGCCTCAGAAGTGCTTCTGTAGGTCTTAGTGACCGAACACTGACCCACCAAAGAGCTCCTCTGAGAACCGCCAAGCAGGGCATGCAGAACTCCAGAGCACTGGAAAAAGGAAAAGCCCTGGCCTGGCTGGTGCAGCTCAGTGGACAGCGTGTCGGCCTGCAGACCCAAGGGTCCCGGGTTCCATCCTGGTCAAGGGCACGTACCTCAGTTGCAGGCTCCTCCCTGGCCCAGGCCCTGGTCGGGGCTTGTGCAGGAGGCAACCAATCGACGTGTCTCTCTCACATCAATGTTCCTCTCTCTTGCCCTCTCTCTTCCACTCTCCCTAAAAACCAATGGAAAAATGTCCTCGGGTGAGGATTAACCAAACAAAGCAAAAAAGGGAATGGAAAGAAAGGGAGAGAGAGAGAGAGAGAGAGAGAGAGAGAGAGAAAGAGAGAGACTGATTCCTGCTCTCTGTCCCCTAAGCACAGGGAAGGTGAACACAGGGGACGTACTTCACATCGAGGGGTCGCCTTTCACACGGAGGCATCTGCTTTTGGGGAGATCAGGCCCATGGGCTGCAGCCAAGGAGCCGGGGCAGCCTCCGCTGGCTCCCACGCAGCTCCATGCTGGGAGAGCCCCGACTGGCCGGGTCCACGTCCGTCCGCACTGGGCCGTGCGCTGCGCTCCCCGGGGCGGGCATGTTTTGCGAATGGTGTCAGCTCACGTCCAGGACAATCCCCGCGAGGCAGCGGGCGTTGGGCTCCTGGCGCTGCGCCGTGCCTGGCACAGAGGCGCCCAGAGGTGCCTGCGCCACCAGAACCAGGCGAAGGTCTGCCTGCGACTCACCCAGACGCGCCCTGGCTCAGCCCCCAAAGACAACAGAGCGAGAGGGCGCCCGGAGCAGAAGTCGGCGTCCACCTCGGGAAGGCGGTCAGGCACCGGCGGGGTGACCATCACGGGGCGGCGGGGTGACCATCACGGGGCGGGAGTGAAAAACAAAGCATTCGAGGGGCAGAGGGCGGGGGTCCAAGCCCCACAGCGAGGCAAGTCCCGCCTCGGCGGGGAGGGGGCAGAGGTGACGCCGATGAACGCCTCTGTCCGCGGGGAGAGGCCTGTTCCACGGCCGGGCACGGGACCGCCGCACACATCACCACAGGCCCTGCGCAGAGGCGGGCTCTCCACCGGGGCGGCGCAGAGAGGGAAGCCGGAAGGCTCGGTGCTAAAGGAAGTGAGGCACTCTGAAGAAAGGAAGGCAGTTTCACCCTCTGGTGGGAAGAGACCAGGGGTGGGAGCGTCCGGCCCGCGGGGCTCATTCGGGCTGGCCCTGCCCCGGCATCGGGGGTGAGTGAGTGAGATGTTTGACCACACAGAGCAGGCGAGTGAGTAAGGTGGTACCTGGGTACGGCCGGGATGATGTTATAAATACCCACAGGGGTGGGGAAAAGGCTCCCCACCCCTAGACCAGAAGACGGAGAGAGCCCCCAGGGCCGGCTAGTGGGCGGCGCCGCCTCTGCCCGCTCTGTCTCCCCACGGGAGCTTCCTGGGACCCCGAAGGCTTTTCTGAAATTAAATGTTAAGCCCTGACCGGTGTGGCTCAGTGGATAGGGCGTCGGCCTGCGGACTGAAGGGTCCCAGGTTCGATTCCGGTCAAGGGCATGTACCTTGGTTGCAGGCACATCCCCAGTGGGGGGTGTGCAGGAGGCAGCTGATTGATGTTTCTCTCTCATCAATGTTTCTAACTCTCTATCCCTCTTCCTTCCTCTCTGTAAAAATATCAATAAAATATATATATTTTTAAAATGTTCAATAACAGCTCGGCACTGTCGCAGCTGTGGAGCCCTGCTCTGCGCCTGCGACCCGACACCCGGGAGGACAGAGGCCACGGGATGCGGATGGACGTTCACACTCGCTCACAGGTCAGGGAAAGGTCACAGTCGCCCGCCCTAGTTTCCTGTCCCGTAAACCCTGTGGGATTGTCACCTCGCAGCTCGGCAGTGCCGTCTCGTAGAAACCGATGGCCTCTGCTTTGCCACGCTGGCCGGGGGACCTCACCGGCCGATGGGGGCCGAGGCGGGCGTCTGTGCGGGAGGACGTGCGCGCGGCAGGCAGGACGGCTCGCACCGAAGCCCTTTCCCGCGGCTCTCACCACGCCTTGTCCCAGTCCTGACGCTTCTCCGGGGGCGTCTCAGACGTTAGGCTTAAGGCTTAGCAGCCTTGTCGCCTAATGTGCTGGCCTAGGGTTTAAAGTAACATTTCAACATCCACAAAAAAATGCCAAACGGCCCCTGTGCCCTCGCCGGGCACCAGGAATTCACGGAACCTGATTAATCATTACCACCGCCCAATGATTAACAGGCTCACAAACTGCAGAGACGGCGACGAGACACATGGAAAACAGAAGGGGATGCCGGAGCTGGCACGGTGCGAACCAGGTCCGCCGCGTTTGAGTGAGTCACACCAGGCGCGTCGTGGACTCTGCGCCCAGCACGAGGGCCTGGCCACGCTACCTAGAACCTTCCCAGCAGTGCCCGAGGCGCTGACATGCTGTCGGAAGAACCTGGCACGTGGAAATGGGTGACAAGCCGGAATGGCACAGGAGCGGACAGCCTCTGTCCCTTTATCTGAATGTGCAAAAAGCATGCTCCCAGCCGGTTCCCAGGAACACGCCCGCCCGCCGTCTGCACGGGGCCCCTCCCTGGGATGTGTCCCTCCTTCCCCACCGCGCTCTCCCTCCTCCTGAGAGCAGCTCAGTGCGCTCAATCCCGCAGCGATCGCTCTGCGGAGGCGACAGGGGACCCAGAGGAAGCCGCCACTGTCGGTCCAGAGAAATGCGAGTGCGCTAAGCTTGTCCCAGATTAAGTCGGTGGAGGCGAGATTCACATTTAACAGGAGCACGGCCCGTATAGACGGCACCCCAGCGATGCAGGGAGAGAAGGGGGCAGAGCGTTTGCCAGGCACGTGACAGAGAAGCAACGGAGGACCAGGGCCTGGCCAGCGACCCAGCGGGATGACACCCCAGAACGAGGAAGGCCCCACAGCTTTGGCGGAAACAGATCACACAAGCGACGGGCTGGGCCTTCGCTTCGGGTGAAGCTGATGTCACCGTCGGGGCCATCACGTCAGGACGGAGCGTCCCACCCAGCAGAGCACACCCACCTCCTGGGGAGAGGAGGCCTGCGCTCCCCACAAAAGCAGCACCCGCCGCCACCCGGGAGCCGATGGGCGGGCGCCTGAGCCCCGACCGTGCCCAACACGAGCACCCCCTGCCGGGCACCTACCATCACGAGAGTAAAGACAACGATTCACATGGGAGAAGATTCTTGCAAATTACACATCGGACAAGAGACTTGCATTCAGAGCCGGTGAAGAACTCTCGCAGCTCCGCCCCCAAAAGGCAAACATCCCGATTGAAAACCGGGCGGAGGATTCGCACAGACGTTCTCCCCAGGAGCCCTCCCCACGGCCACAGGCACGGGAAACCACGCTCAGTGTCCGCCACTCGGGAGACACCGGCGCCCCCCGCAGGATGGCGGGAACCCACGGACAGGCAGTAACCAGAGCCGGAAAAGACGTGGAGAGAAACGGAGTCTCCCACGTGGCCGGCGGGACTAGGAAGACGGAGCCATTGCAGAACGGCCCGGCAGCGGCCCGGCAGCTCCTCAGAAAGGTCACAGTCACCCTGGGACGCAGCAATCCTGCTGCTGGGGGGACGGAAGCACACGCCCTTCCCATGAGCCCTCACAGCCGCATGCTTCATCACAGCCCAACAGGCGGAGCCACCAGACGTGCGCCAGCATGGACGGGAAGATAAAGTGTGCGACTTCCACACAACATGTGTACATACATACACATATAATACATATTCATACATATATACACATATCTGTAATAATAGAAGCATAATATGCTAATTAGACCGGACAGCCAGACGACCTTCCAGACGTCCTTCGGACGACCTTCCGGACGAAGCTGGGGCTGCGAGGGCAAAGCCCTTGCATGAATTTTGTGCATGGGGCCTCTAGTCTATATATATTTTTATTGATTTCAGAGAGGGAGGGAGAGGGAGAGAGAGAGAAACATCAATGACGAGAGAGAATCATTGATCGGCTGCCTCCTGCATACCCCTACCAGGGATTGAGCCCACAACCCCGGGCATCTGCCTTTGACTGGAATCGAACCCAGGACCCTTTGGTTCACAGGCCGATGCTCTATCCACCAAGCCAAACCGGCTAGGGCTCCATACAATATTTTTGATGATGAAAGGAAATGAAGTCTTGATCGTTATGTTCAGTGAAAGAAGCCGGCCACAGACCCCGTGCCACTTGAGTCCATTTACACGCCATGTCTAAGATCGGCGAACCAGACAGAAAGGAGACTGGCGGCCGCCGGGGCTGGGGCTGGAGGGCTGGGCGTGTGGGTTCTCTCAGGGGCGATGAAAACATTCTAAACTGAGGCGTGGCAGTGGTGGCTCAGCCCTGGGCGTCCAGCAGCCACAGGACAGGACTGTGCACTGCAGCCAGCGATGAACGGCGTGTCGACCACTTCTCCACAGGGACACAGAACAAAACCAGAGAGCCTCACAAATGCTCACAGCAGCTTCATTCATAACGACCCCAAACCAGAGACCGCCCCAATGTCCTCCGATAGGCGAGGGGTCGAGCCAACTCGGGGCGTCCATACACCAACGGCCCGG